ACCTGAGAAACATCCATTTCCGCGAACAGATGTGAAGCAGAGAAGATCTGGATGGGTGTTCAGGTTTATTGCGAAAGGACAAAGATTGTTGGAAAGGACAAGGATTGTTGAAGAAGACAAGGATTGTTGGAGAGGACAAGGATAGCTGCAACAACAAGGATTGTTTGGGAGAACAATAGCGAGGGCATGGATTTTTGGAGAGGACAAGGGTATGTTGGAAATAACAAGAGGGTGTTTAAGTGGACAAGAGAATTTCAGAAAGTACAAGAGTGCTTTTTAGAAAGGACAAGAGTGCGTTGGAGAGGACAAGGTGCGTTGTAGCGGGCATGATTTAAGAGGAAAATAATGTGGTAGAGAGGGCACGGATCCAGTGTATATACCATGAGATTTATACACCTCTTGGTATATATACACTTAAATATTCACACTTCAAAGCAAAAAGTAAATAATCTGGTAAAAAAAATATAATGATGAAGCTACAAAAATAATGTAATGAAATTTACAAGGAAAAATCTGTACACAGAAATAGTCCATTTATGTTAAAAATAAAATATTGAAAAAACGCCGAATAAACTAAAAATAAAAGGATGAGAGAAATACACCTTGAGAGGAGTATTTCTCTCAGAATAATATACTGAGAATTTAATTCATTCCCTATTTTACGGTTAGGTTAGGTTAGGTAAGGTTCATCAGGACACAAGACAAGTGTTTCCTGACGCGGGTCTTGGTGAGATGATGACCAGCCTTTGGAGCTTTTGGTCATCTGACCGAGGCCTTCCGCTGGCTTACCGGTCCACCCCTATAAAAATTATTGTCATTTACAGCCATTGTTCCTATTTTACGGATTAAAGTATTCTTATCTGGTGGTGAAAAAGTTATCGTGCAACCTTAATGAATTTCGTGTAGTCAATATAGGCTTTTAACTCCATAACCAAACCAGCCTAATAAAACAAAAAAAAATCACCTTAATGGAAATCAATTTACTACCCAGGATGAAAGTGAACAGATACTTTTTTATTTTGGTCTCTGAAATTTAAACATTCTGAAAACTGATACCCAACTCACTAGAACTCCCCGGTAATCCTTGTACGCAACTGATAGAACATTGGATTCAAATAGCTTTCTGTTGAAAAGAGTGAAGATAAAAATACAGGCTGTGTAATAGGCTTTCATTGTGATAACGTTCACTTCTCTGTACCGCTTTGTGAGTTCTTGACTTGGTAAAGCTAGATCTACGTAGAGTGAAACGCTGTCCTAATGAAAGTTTATTCTACAGCTTGAATTTTCCCGAGGTGGAACATTGACCATCCAGCAACTGTTTCAGCTTTAATCTGGGCTGTCCCTCTCCAGATCATATTTCCACGAATTTCCTTTGAGAATCTATTTTAGCGCGTTGGTTGACAGACAGAGCGCCAACAAATGTGAACAATTCATAGAAATTTCGAACTCTCATTGGTCGAAATGTTGTTGAGCTTATGACAGCCATTAGAACAATATCTACCCCAATGAAAGAATAAAAATTATCTGAAAATAAAGGTACAAAGTAAGATTGGTACTGGAGTCTGCCTGGGACTCGGAATCATTGAACCTTGGAGGCTATTTTACCAACGAAAAGCAGCATATAGAGAGAATGTTAAAGAATACGACACATGTTGAGCACTTGGGGATTTTATTACTGAAAGGTTTTTTACCCTATGCATCAGGCTTCTTTAGTCGAATACAGGTAAATATAACACTTGAAATAGCAGTAATAGTAATTTTGAGTTGATCTGTCTCTTAGACTTGGTAGCTGGTCAATCCCTCAAGCTTATAATATCATAATTAAAATAATATCGAAGAGAACAGGCAGTTTGAAAACAACATCGAGTATGCCAACATTCTCAGGAGTTAAATTTGCATGTCAGGAAACTAATAATGGAATGTACACCCAGAGAGACCGGTTTATAAATTCAGACTCACCAGCTGTTCGAACTACTAACTACAAGTCGCTCAAAAGCACTAATCGTTATATCCCACAGTTCCAAGGCATTTACAGTAAGGAACTTAACACCTGAGGATGCTACCAGACACCATGGTGCCCCACGGCCTGATGGCGAAAGTTTCGCTTCACACGGTGAGGGTCCGGTGAAGGGGTGTTAACATTGGGCGTTTCCTTACACCGGTTGTCTATGTTCTGCATCAATAATAATGGTTTCCCGGGTGTTAGTCGACTGGTGTGGGTTGCATCCTGGGACAAAACTGACCTAATTTGCCCGAAATGCTCTGCATAACAAGTGGCTTTCTATGTAGTAGTACGTCACTGATGTCAGCTAGGCCTGTATACCTTGTACATGTACTTGTAGAAATAGAGATATATTATTATTATTATTATTATTATTAGTAGTAGTAGTAGTAGTAGTAGTATTATTATTATTATTATTACTATTATCGGATTTCAAAAGCACCTAACGGTGCAACTAGGGTTTCAAAAAAAAAATCATCCGTTAGGCACTTACAGGCGCCAGTTGGCACTTGCCAGCGGTAGTTTGCTTATAATGGCGTTAGTTATATTGGCACGATACTGAATTGATCATATTTTGTTTTAGCTTTCCCATAATATTAAAATTCTGGGAAGCTTACGAACCTCATTTAATTAAGTTACATAACTGAAACCATTTCGAAAGTATTTATTTAGCAACATTTACATCATCTGTCTTCCACTTAGAAAACCGTCTTTTAAGTACTGTATCACTCTGGGACATAACTCTCCCGCCGTACTACGTTAAATATGCTCCTTATACATCGATCTCTGAAGAGAACGGAAAACGTGATCTCGAAAATCACTCTGAGCGAGACTATATGTTACGCTTAAGTGTATCTGTACTTCTTGTGGATGTAGAGGTAGATGGGAGAAATTTGATGAGTGATGCAGTACACTTAGGTGGGAGAACTGTGTTAGGAATGTTTATGGTACTAGTATATAGAACAGTTGTTACATCTATGGTGCGTGTAAACAAGTAGGCTTTTTGAAAGAACTTATGCTAAACAAGAGAAAGTAGTATTAAAGAGAACAGCAGTGTTTTGGAAAGGGCAAGAGTGTGTTGGATAATACAGGAATGTACTGGATATGGCAAAAGTGTGTTGGAGAGGACAAGGAAGTGTTCACAAAGATAAGGATGAGTTGGGGAGAAAAGCACTATTTTGAATAGGACAGGAAGTGTGTGTTGGCGTTGATAAGAGTATGTTTGAGAGGAAAATACTGTGTTAGTGAGAAAAGGTGGGTTGATGAAGACAAGGAAGTACATGTGAGGACAAGAATGTGTTGGACAAGACCAAGAGTGTTTGGGAAGGGGACGGCAGTATTGGAGAGGACTCAGGGGTTCTTAAGAAGTCTCGGGTGGATTCCAAGGTACTTGAGTTCTATGAAGGAGATTCTATTCCAATGAAAGAACCTCTCGATTCTTTGGAGAAGAAAATGGCATAAGGTAGGCAAAAAACAATAAGTGAAGAAAAAGAAGTAAGAGGACTTTGAGAAGTATACGAAAAATAGGAGCATGTGAATAGCCAGCCTGAGTAGGAAAGTGCATGATGTTATATACTATACATACAGTACAGTTTGAAATCGATTATAAAACGTCTTGTTATGGAAAGATTTTTGGAGTTACTACAGTGTTATCGACAATTATACTTGAATACACTCACGATCGATGAGATAACTGTCTTACATAAACCTCAAGAGATAACTCAATAAAGCTAGTCACACGTGCTAGTACCGGAGACAATTTAAATAGAATTCTCCCACCAACGATGGTCACTGAGACTCATTAGAACTCTAATGTATCATGTATTTATGCCAAAAGTGATTATCGAATTTACACGTCCGGTCCCCTCAGACAGATCGATATGCAGGGACAGAAAACATTTGAGAAGAACCAGATGTATTTGGATCACAAGGTGTGCGGTGCGGTGACAGGAAGGGCTTGAGGGGACGCTCTAATTATACAGTGAGTCCCACGGGGAATCTATACCTCTAGAAAAAAAAATGTCGAAGTCAGAGGGAAATGATGTTTACGTTCTTTGATGAAATTATTGTTGGGTGTCCTGTGGCTGGATTGGCAGAGTACTTAACTCACATACTGAGTGGCCGTGGTTAGCTTCACTGCATGAATGGCATCCAGAGAAAGTGTTGATCTTTGAAATGAGCTGAGAAAGGATATCAGCTCTTAACCTGTAAAATTGATTTGTGTAAAAATAATGGAAAGGACAAAACTATTTTCCTACATACAACCTAATGAAATCTACATCGTATAATCCTTAGACTTTTAACTTTGTGAAACTGACTCGAAGA